TGCGTATAAACCTGAACGGGCTCAAGACGGGGCCTCCGCACTGGCTACAACCTTGCCCTGGACGCCTCTCCGCCCCAAAGGCCAAGCACCGAACAGGCCTCAGCCCAGGCCTGCCCTCCTGGGACTCCCCGTCCTCCCCACCCAACCGCCCTGCGCCCCTCACTCAGGCCTTGTTAACGCTCCTGAGCCCACAGGCCCCGCCCACCGCACAGCAGCTCTCACAGCCTCTCCCTCTCTCCGCTGGTCCACACGGAGCACCCCCCCACGCCCCCCACCATCCCATCTGCACCCTGGAGCCATAGCTACCACCCTCAGCACAGATCTGTCAGTCCCGCTCAAGCACCCTCAGTGGCTTCCTGCTACGCTGGGCTCACAGTGCCAGCTCCTACCGGCCCTTCTGTAACCCAACACTGTCTCCTCCTCCCCCGGCCTCACCTCTGCCCCCCACCTAACAGGGCTCCTGTACGTGCTGCTCAGGTAACCTGTTCCTGCGTAACGTATGTCTGGAGCACTGTTTCCCTTCCCCCCACCCCTTCCTACCCTTCGGCAGCTGAGCCAACTCCTATTCACCCTGTAGAACCCCACTCAGGCTCACCTCCAGAGGGCCTCCCCGATGCCCCTGGGCTGGGGTCTGTGGCCCTCCCTGGCTACCCTCAAGCCCCTGCAGACTCTAAATGTCTCGTGTCCATCTCACACAGGCTCTCAGTCTTCCCGGCCCCGCCATGTAGTCCTGGCTCCAACCCCTCTCCCAGTGCCTGGCGCAGAGGCCGCTGAACACATTCCCTTCTCCCCCAGAGTCCTGGCGTCCAAGACCAGGGGTTCAGCCGGCTCTGGCGAGACCCCCCGGTATTTGGACCACAGAGCTCAAAAGAGGCACCAGAGGATTATCAGAGCCGGACAGAAAGACGCGAGTGTTCTAAATACAGAGCCAGACAGCCTCTCCTTGGATCCTCATCCTTTACTCACCCACAAAAATCATTTTTAAATGCTCACTGTGCCCCGAGGCGCTGAAGGGTTGGCCTGGACCCTGAGGAGGGAGGGAGGAGCAGGGAGCAGCCAGCACAGAGGACATGGGGGAGCCTCTGCCACAGACATCAGGGACCAGCTTTGGACTCCCACCCTCTGCCACCTGCTGAATTCCTCAGCACCCAAGGACCCTGACCCTTGTGAACGCAGCCAGCTCACCTGGATGTGGAAATGCCCTTGAAAGGCCCTCGACAGGACCTGTCGATGTAAAAGAGGGGGACGTCCTCTAAGCCCCGCCCCCTCCCAGAAACGTCCGTTTGACCTAAGGTCCCGGACTCCAACTCCGGGCAGACCCTGTCTCCTGAGCCCACCATTCTCCCCATCAGCTGAGCCTGTCCAGTGGGGAGGACTCCCTGAATCTCTGCACCCCACCCTAGTGCGTCCCTCCCCTGCCCGGCAGCCCTAACACACACAGGGGCCTGTAACCCACCCAGAGACAGAATCAGCCCACACTGGGGACCTCAGGCTCCCGGCCACCAAGCCCAACCTCCATCCAAATAACCCAGCCAGGCTGCTGTCCATGTGGAGGGAACAGACAGGGACAGAGGGAACGTGTCCACATGTGGGGCACTCAGAGCCACACCAAGACCTGCACGCCTGCCCCGACCCCCTCCCCCACAGTCTCCAGGGCCCACTCCTGACATCCCACCACCGAATGTCTCAGGGCGGGTGAAGGGGGCCAGGGTCACGTTCGCTGCTCTCTGAAGAGTGGTCTGGGGTTGGGGATCCAGAGGGTATGGTTCTGGGGGCCCGGGGGCCAGGCTGGGACCTGAACCGGGGAGGAAATGTTAATTCTTTACATCCAAAACCTTCCAGGGCCTTCTGATGGTTCTAACCCACTGTCTGTCCCAGACTGAACATGCCCGGGGCCCTAGACCCCACGTGACCTGAATTCTAGAAACTTTACAGCCCAAGTGACCCTTGTCACGAGCTGAACAGGATCTCAGAGCAGATTCACATCCCAGAGCCTCTGCCTGTGGCCTTATTTGGGGAAAGGGTCTTTGTAGATATAATCGGGGGGAATTCCAAGATGAGAGCATCCCAGGTTGGCAGGTGGCCTGATATCCAGTGACCGATATCCCACAGACACGGAGGAGAAGCAAGAGGGAGAGGTCGTGTGAAGATGGAGCAGAAACTGAGCTAAATGCGGCCACCAGCCCGGGAAGCCCTGGGGCCACCAGGAGCTGGAACAGGCAGGAAGGACTCTCCCCGGGAGCCTCTGAGGGAGCCCAACCCCACTCAAACTTTGACTTTGGACAGAACAGTGAAGGAGTCAATCTGTGTGGTTCTAAGGGCCCCAGTTTGTGGTAATTCGCTACGGCAGCCTCAGGACACTAACTTCCCCCCTCCCACCCCGGACCTGAGCTGCCGCCCTCCTCCCGGGCGAGCCCAGGCCCTGAGTGGCCTGGTGCTCTGACCACACGCGCAGGGGTGAGCCATCCCTCCACCACCCAGCCCTGCGGTGAGTCTGGTGACGGTCTAGAAACCGGAATAGCCGGCGGAGCAGTGGCAAGCCTGTCCCTGAAGGAGAAGGGAGCCCAGCAGGACTTGCAGAGGGTCCAGACCGGCCCCGCCACCTGCTGCCCCCACCGTGCTCTCCAGCCACCGCTGACCAGGCGGGCTTGGCCAGGGGCCTCGGACGGGGACTTGAGGGGAGATGAGGATCCCCAGGAGGGACTCCCTTTGGGGTCGGGGTCCCTGGTGGACGGAGCACACCCAGACTCACACCCACAGGTCAGTGCCGACCGGCCGGGCCAGCGGGGCTTGGGGGACGGAGCTAACCTGTGGCCTCAAGCAGCGGCGCTGGGACGGTGCTGCCGCGGCTCATGCCGGGAAGGCCGGGAAGCACGGCGACGCGAGTGCAGCTCCTGCCCTCGCGGGGGGTGCTGCTCGGATGCCTGAAACGGCCGATGAGCCGGGAAGGAGTCCACCCACGCCAAGGGTCGGAATTTTAAACTCTGAAGCCTCAGAGGAAAAGTATCCCACGGCCCTATTACATTATGTCCGGGCAAATAAAACAGTGTCCAAGGAGCCAGCTGGGCCCCTGTCCCGGCCCCGCGCCGGGCACACCAGGGCCAACCCCAGGTCTGCACGCCAGTCCTCAAAGTGGCCTCAAGTCATCCTGTCTGAGCCTTGGTGCCCAGAAGGCCACAGTCCAGCGAGGATACTGGTCTCCTTCCCCCAGGGGTCCCTGAGCAGCTCCAGGGCCGCACATCCAGGGGCCTGAGGAGGGAAATGCACTTTGAGCATCCACGCAAGAGAGATGAACAAAGCTGGGCGAGGGCCCCCAAGCCCCCCACTGCTCTGGGCAGCACAGTGGCCAGGGCGTGTCCAGCAGAAAGGACTCTGACCGATGTCCCATCTGGCCCCTCCACGCCAGCCCCGGGCAGGCAGGCCAGCAGCTGTGCTTGCCCTCGCTCCCGAGCAAATCCCCAGGCAGGGAAGCGCACAGGCCTGGCCGTGGTCAAGGCCCCTCAGACTCTGGCTGTGGCTCCCAGGCCAGCTCCAGGGCCACTTTGCCAAACTGCCCATCCCACAAAGCCACCTACACCCCTACACCCCAGCCACACCACCCCTTCCTGCCTCTCTCTGCATCTCCAAACTGTTAATCTCCCCAGCCCAGGACGGCTGATCGTCACGAATTCAGTGGCTATAGCCGTCTTGCTGGCTCGAGCAGGACCTTGAACCTCACCTGCTTATCCACCTCTTCGCTGAGCATCTCTGCAGCCTGTGCCTCGTCCCCTCAAATGCAGGGTCCTGTGGGCCGCCCAGCTGGGCGGATGGATCACAGGCCCAGACCGGCCTGTTCCACGTCACATCCCCTTTGCAGAATGAGGGGACCAGAGGGCCAGCATCCAGCACACACACGCCCTCCAGTGCATTCCCTCCACCCAGAGAAATTCAGGCGTGACGGAGGCCCTGAGGCCCAGTGGAGCCCCACTCAACCCTGGCCGTACTGAGAGTGTGTGCCACACCTGTGGTAAGCCCATGCCACTGTCATCCTCACGTGAGGCTGCAGGTTGAGGGGTTAACGCCCCTTTACAGGGCTAGGGAAGTGGAGAGAGGTTGCCAGCAGCTCGGAGCCTCCATCTCCCTTCCACATGAGGAGGGGCTGATGCCCCTCACAGGTGGGTTTCCCAGGCTCCCATCCAAGCTCTGCCCTCCGGACCAGCACACTGACCGGAGCTGTCGAGGCCACCTGCCGGGTCAGCAGGAGGCCTGGGCTGGCCGCGAGCCCAGGGCAGCCAGTGCAGACAGGCTCAGCCCCCAACCCTGGGAGAGAGAAGACAAGGGACTTTGCAGCCCCCACGGCGACTACAGGTCCGGAGGAGTGCATTGCTCCCCTGCTCAGAGGACAGCGGGGACCCCTGAACACCCCATCCCCACTGTGCCCCAAACTCTCTGCCTGAGGGACTGTGTGGGTCCTCCCAGCCCCACTCCCAGCAGCCTGGGGGCCAGCTCCCTGGAGTGCTCACCTGGCCTCCGATGCCACATCAGTCCTCAAGACCCCTGCCCTCCCAGCTGGGTCCTCACATTTGGCCCTCATCTGTGATGTCAGGGCCTGGGTTTGGGGAGATCAGGGCCATGGAAGCTAGGGTGTGCACTAAGGTGTTTCTCAAAACATCCTTGATAAACACATCTATTCCTTTTTTTCCCCCACTAAATCCAACTTAAGCTGTTCTGATGCTCTGGGACCTGGGACAAAGGCCGGTGAGCGACAACATGCGATCTGGGGATGCCAGGTGCCCCTCCTCTCCGCCTCCAAGCCCCTCCCTCCGACGGGGAAGAGCAGGGGCAGCCCCAAGGGCCCGAGGGGCCAGGCTCAGCGCTGAGAGCGGGGTGTTTGAGACATAACTCTGCCGTGTTTCCTAGCGGCCAGCCTGCGCGCGGGTGGGTCGGCATCAAGCCACAGTCCACCCAGGGAAGCCGAGAGGTCTGGGGCTGCCCGTGGTCCCCGCAGCCCACATACTTACAGTACCCACACCTGGTCCCGCCTTCAAAGATGAATCCGTTCGGCACAGCCCCGTAGCGCCGGAGGTCTGACAGCTTCCACTGCCCCGCGACAGCTGGTGGCACGTCCCTGGCCACCACGAGGATGTCATTGCAGAGGTGCAGGGTGGCGGGGCCGCTCTCCAGCGTGGTGCCTGGGGCCACCGTCACGTGGAACCTGTGGACTGGGGGCCGGGCAGGGGTGAGAGCGCACCACGGGGACAGAGGCGGCTGGGTGGGGAGCAGCACTCGGGTGTCAGCTCCAGAGGGCGGGGCTGCCCCCGCCCCCACACCACACCCCTACCCTCCGCATCTGCTCCCAGTGCCACATCTCTCCCCCAGCCTCACGGGGACCGCCCTGACCACCCCTCCTCATCCTAACAAGGCTGACGTGGCCTTGGCACACTCTGGGAAAAGCTCACATGAGCCTGCAGATAAATCCGCTGCATCAGGGCTCCTGCTCACAGCGAGTCCTCTGAGAAACCCCTATAAGGGCTGTGGGTTGGTCCCATTTCAAAGATGGGGAAACGGAGGCCTGGGAAGCCCAGCCCCTGGTCAGTTTGTGAAGAGTCCAGGGTCTGCCTCACAGCCCAGCCTGGCTGCACGGACACCCAGGACACCGTGGACCCCTCCCTCTCCAGTCAGGGGTTGTCCCTGGAGCTGAACATGACGACATGCTCCCCGAGGTCTCCTCCAGCACCCAGGTCCCTCCTTTGCCCTAGAAACCCCTCAGGAGGACAGTCGTGAGCTCTTCTCTCCCCAGTGCCCCACCTCGGAAGGGGGCACACCCTGGAGGAGCCCAAGAGCACCTGGGGCCTAGCTGCCCACCGCCTGTGTCCACCAGCCTCATCTCCAGCCCTGCCCCCTCCTCCCCGGAGCCCTACCCGCGTCCCTGCAGTGGGGGCCTCGAGGGGGTCCTGACGTCCAGTCTGTCTGGCCCAAGGTGGCCAGGTGTCAGAGACCCCATCACAGTGTCCTGGTGATTCCTGTCAAGGAGCCAAGACAAGGCACCAGCTGCCTCTGTGCAGGGACCCTGACTGCCCCCAGCAGAAAAGGAGCCGTGCACGGAGCCAGGCTGAACTGGCAGGACCCCAACCGGAGGGCTTTCTGGAAAGACGCGGCTCTCCCTGTCTGCCCCTGCACCCCCTCACTGAGCTATCCACATGCCCCATGCATGAGGCTCCTGGCCTGGGGGCTCCCGGAGGAGGGAGGGGCTGCTGCCTCCCACCCCCTACCCCTGGCTGGGCTGGGCTGAGCTGAAGTGAGCCAGGCCCTCACCTGGGGCAGAAAACCATGGCCAAGTTCAGTGATATTTTAATGATTATTTAAAGAGTAAAATCTAATGCAAAAAGCCCATGGTGAGTGAAACATCAAATGTTTAAATAAAGACCAGGCTGGTCAGGGCTGTGGCACCAGGGCGGGAGAGAAGGCGGACGTTCCGGGCGCTCAGAGCCTGTCTTCACTTTAAATTCGAACACTTTGTTCATCACAGGCTCTGGGCTTTAATTTTGAATTTTTTAAATACTGTGTTAAAACATCACGGGTCTTTGCGGCTCAGCTCGGGGTCCACCCACCTCTGCTCACACAGCCCGCGGGGCCAAGAGGTGGGCCGGGTCCTCCCCGTCCGCCTCCAGGACGACCTCCCAGGAGCACGGGCACCCCCCGCAGCCCCCTGGCCTCCCTGCCACTCCCTTCACCCCAGCTCTGGGCTCGGCCACCAAGCTAGGAAGCAAAGGGCAGCAGTTTGCGAGGTCAGTCCACTCAGACGCTGCTCGCTTTCCTCAAAGTCGCCAGTTCTGATGAACAGGGTCACGTTAGGGAGTTGAAAGGGCCTCCCCCCAACCGCAGCCGGGCCCCTCCAGGCCGGGACACAGCCCTGAGCACAAGCCGGGCAGAAGGCGTCAGCAGGGACTCGGGGCCACCCCGAGTCATGTCCCAGCCTCTGCAGCCCGTTGCTCAGTGCACCACGGGACAATCAGGGCAGAGGCTGTCCCCTCGGACCCCGCGACGACGTCACTCACCCTCGCCGAGCGCGTAGCGGATCCGAGCGTCCCAGGCACACATGGCCTCCCGGCTGTCGAAGCCCAGCATGACGGCCTGAGACAGGCAGACGATGGCCAGCGTGTGGACCAGGCCCTCGTAGGGCAGGCCGGGCTCCAGGCCACAGATGTCCTCCAGTGTGAGGCTGCTGCGTTCCCGGAGCCCCTTGGCTCGCTCCGACTTGTCCCTGTAGGCCAGCATCAGCAGGCAGTCTGCAGAGGGCGCCAGAGGGGCTGTCAGGGGTGCCAGGCCACGGCACCTCCGCCCCCAAGTCCCCAGCATCCCCCACGCCCGAGAGTCCAGGTCCGAGACGTGACCCCAGGCCAGCCACTCAGCCACTCTGGGTGCCCTCCCCTTTGTGCACGAATAGCACCTCCCACCCTGCGCGGCTACAGGCTGCACGGGCAGTCGCAGGCCCGCACCGCATCCCGGCTGGGCCTGCCCACCTGCGCCTGGCCCCAGCCAGTGCGCCCGC